GTTAAGAAGCCAGAGGCTGGCACGCAATACAAGCAAGACAGCCAGTTGAATGCTTCAGGGGGTGAGGGACAGGCTGGGGTAGTGGGGGGGAGGGATATAGCAGCGCAGGTAAAAGTGGAGAGGTACGTGGGGAGTCAGATGTCTGGCACATACATGTGACATGAGTTTTGCTTGTCAGCGGCTTGAGGTACAGTTCCCCAGAAACCCCTCCACCTAGCTCATTGAAACTTGACAGGCTTTGTGGCCTCAGCAGGGGCTGTCATCCCTCCTGTTTTCATTCAAATCAGGCAAGAAATGACAAAGTTATAGGCAGTTTCATGATTCTTCATTATAGCCTATGGGCGAAACGTCAATATGGTGTTGAAACAGCAAAACAGTTTCGACAAAATGAAATGGAACAGTGCTTTGAAGTGAAATGAAACTTGAAATGAAACACCGTCCTATTGAAATGGTGAAACAGAAGTCAAAGCAAAACGGTGCTCTTTTGCACAGCTCTATTATTTGGCACTGGTGAAGACATGTCTGGAGTACTGGGTCCAGTTTTGGGCCCCTCACTAAAGAAATGGTGTGGAAAAATTAGACGGTCCAGTATTGGGTAATGAAAATGGTTTAGGCACTGGGGCACACAATTTATAAGAAGAGGCTGAGAGAAATAGGCTTATTTAGTCTAGAAAAGAGAAGACTGAAAGGGGATTTAATAGCAGCTTTCAACTATCTGAAGGGTGGTTCCAAAGATGATGGAGCTGGACTGTTCTGAGTGGTAGGAGATGACAGAACAAGGATTGATGGTCTCAAGTTGGAGCAAGGGAAGTTTAGATTAGATTATTAGGAAACAAATTCTTACTAGGAGGATAGTAACACACTGAAAGATTTGCCAAGAGAGGTTGTGGAATCTCCATCCTTGGAGGTTTTTAAGACCTGAGTAGATAAAGCCTTGGCTTGGGATGATCTAGTTGGAGATGGTCCTGCTTTGAGTAGAGGGTTGGACTAGATGTGACCTTCTGAGGTTCCTTCCAACTAGCTTTCTATGATTCTATGTCTTAATTTTTTTTAAAAGCACTTGGTGCTTACTTACTGTTTGGTGGGTGATACATAGAGGTTTGCTAAGGAGCTGTTAAGTCCATTAGGATACAAGAGGGGTAATAGTCAAATGTAGGATTATGTAACCTTATAAATGTTAACAGGAGTGAAAACTGTCCTTCCTCTTATTGTGTTGTTTCCATCAGTACTTTACAAAGGAGGTCTGTTTTAAAGATGGGGAAAGTTGGCCACAGAGAGGTGAGAGACCTTGCTAAAGGTTACCCAGGAGGCAAGTGGCAGACCTGCGACTAGAACTCAGATCTCTCTTAACATATTGTTTACAATAAAGCAGATAGTGTAATACATCATTTTCGAAAACCAGTAGGCTGAACACAGATTCCTTCCACAAGCAAATGCCCTTTGAAGTTACTGCCTAAGGAGAGACTAAATAAAAAATGAGGGCCTGATTCTGGAGCACTAAACCTAGTTGATCCTGCAGATATTGATCTTCATGCTTAGCTGCAAGCACAGGAAGAGTGCAGTTGATTTCAAAGACTAGGCTGTTGAATTCTGGCCTACTGGTTGCCCCAGACCTTCAAAGTATAATGAGTGGCTTCAGCTTGACAATTTGTGCCCTTAGTTCAGGAAAACACTTATGCATGTGATTTATTCCCCTGAGAGCCATCCTGAGGAAGGCTGGTTTTGTGAGGTAAGAACATGCCTAAATGTTTGTTGGATTAGGGTCTTACACTGAGTACTGTTTTATTTTTGTGAGTAGGCCATTTTCTTTGAGAAGACCTCAAGATTTGGCCCAGTATTTTGTTAAAACAAATTAAGATCATGATTCACAAAAGCAAATATTATAGAACTAAGTCATATGTTGGAGTAAAGTGATTTATTGTGAATGTATGAGTTTCTACTGGAAAGTTGGATGGCAGCCTATGAGGAAAATACTTAAAAAAAAAAAAAAAAAAAAAATCCCCCCCCCACAATA